TATGTAAATTACAAGTCACCCTTGGAATAAACCGAGGGTCTGTTTGGGTCCCTATAGGCCAAAGGTTCCTTCCTCTTTGCTCTGTTTATTCTTTTAGCTCTACTTCTCTTTAGGGGTTGTTAGATTTTTCTTAGAATCCCCATTAGCACAACTTATTAATGAATAACACTCTACTTTCTTGGTCATGGTAACTAATTCTCTCTCTTTTTCTACTATTTAAATAATTATAGTAGGGGATGCTAGGCAAGAGCATCCTGAGGGACCGCATCTTCAAACTGATCAACAGCAGTTGTGCATTGCTGGGTGGTAGGACGGTCTGCAGAATGGAGTGCTGGTGTGTAACAAGCTTGTGTGCTGGATGAGTGTCCAATGGGATCGGATAGTGACATGGCTGATTGTGGCTGCCGTGATACACTATCCTGAGTAGCAACATCATCAGTTAGGTTTTCAGGATGAGTGAGTCCTTCAGTTAATATCTGTCCTGAAACAAGACATAGATTGTCTTTTGGGAAATCGTGGAAAGGTTTTTCACTGTGGAGTTGTGGATTCATGATATGAGGGGGCTAGGATGCAGAAGAGAAGCTATTATATAATTTCTAGAGGCTCTTCTATATGTATCTGTCATTCTATTGATGCTACTCTGTAACTATTCATTTTCACTTATCAACACATCTTGAAAATGCTCTGTATCAAAGCATTTCTTCTCTTGTTTTCCGATTTGACTTTATCCTTTTAATGACATTTTTTTCTGAACAGATACTCTTAATTCTCTAAAAGCTTAATAACATATAAGACAAACCCAGATAAAAATGAGCAATAGAAGCTGGGCCCTGGTGGCTCATGCCTGCAATCCTAGCTATTTGAAAGGCCAAGATTGGGAGGATCCGGGTTCCAGGCCAGCCCGGGGGTGAAAAAATAGTTTGTAATTCCTCTTTTCAGCTGGGGGAAAAAAAAAAGCTAGGTGTAGGAGGATGGTGGGTCCAGTCTGGCCTGGGCAAAAAGCAAGACCGTATCTCCAAAATGACCACAGCAAAATGGGACTGGATGAGTGGCTCAAGTGGTAGAGTGCCTGCCGAGGAAGCGTGAAGCCCTGAGTTCAAACCCTAGTACCATCACCACCACACACACAAAAAAGGTAATAGAATTCAAAATAGATATTTCTTAAAAAAAGGCATACAAATGGCCACTAGCTACGTGAAAAAATGCTGAACATCACTGATCACCAGGAACAAGCAAGTAAAAGCCACAATGAGATACAGCTCATTCCCGTAAGGCTGGTTACTATCAAAAAGACTAAGGATCACAAGTGCTGGTGAGGATGAGGAGAAAAACGAACTCTTGCATGCCATTGATGGGAATGTAAATTAGTATAACCATTATAGAAAGCAGTATGAAAGTTCTTTTAAAAAGTTAAAAATAGAACTACCACACAACGCAGCAATCCCAGAAATCAGTGTGTCAAAGGGATATTTGCATTCCCATGTTTGTTGCAACACTATTCACAAAGCCAAGAAACAGAAGCTAAGTGTTCATCCATTAATGAATGGATAAAGAAAATATGGTGTATCTCTCTGTCTCTCTCACTCTCTTTCTCTCTCCAACACACCACACACACACACAAACACACACACAAACACAGAGGAATACAACTCAGCCATAAAAAGAATGAAATCCTGTCACTTGCGATACCATGGATAGAACTGGAAGTCTTTATGTTAAATGAAATAAGCCAGGTGCAGAAAGACAAGTACTGCATGATCTCACTTTTACGTAGACTCTAAAAAAGTTGATCTCATAGAAGTTGAGAGTAGAATAGTAGTTCCCAGATAGTCCTGGGTTTGTGTACTGGCTCTGCCATTTGTCAGCTAAAGTTAAGTTTCCTCATCTGCACCGAGGCCTTCTTACAGATGTTGTAAGCATAAGTCATGATGATAGTGAGTATTTATTGAGAACTATTGAAGTACCAGGCACTATGCTAAAGCCCAATCTGTTTCATCTCCCATAATTTTGCTCAGGCAAGAATTTGAAAGTGGGAGTCTGAGGACTGGTACTTTTAAAATCTACCCAGTTAATTCTGAGGCCAGTAAGGTTGAGATTCTTGGCTGTATGTTAATGTCTAGACAGAGGTTAATCACTCAGGGTCTTAGAGACAAATATACCTCATTCTACAGTAACAGAATACCATGTTCTCAACATCTCAAGCCTCGGTTTCCTCATTATAATATGAAAGCAAAAGTAGCATTCACCCTGAGAACTGTTCAGAAGCTGAACTGAGCCTGTCTTAGGGACATGACTGAGTCTGGCACACTCAGTGGTCTGATAAGGATTACCTTGTACCATTATTAGCCAGCTCTTATTTCCTTGGAGACTGAAAATTCAAAGATCTGTTGCCTTTCTGCATAAATCACTCTGTCTTAGTTTAAATTTGTCTTCCATCCACATGGCTCATTACAAGTCCTAAGTGATGGGGAAGGGGAGCTAGTATGTCATAGTGACAAATCCATGTGACTATTCGAGCCTCAGTTTTGCCATTCATAACATAGGACAACATCCCCTTCATTAATGTCAGAGTTAGAGAGAGTTCACAAAGAGGTGCAGCATTTTTACTGTACTAGTGTTGGTGCTTTGCTTACAAAATGTACAAGATGTGAAAAGGGCAGAAACCCCTTTTAAAAAGTTCAAACAGGAAGTAAGCCAAGAACAGGGAGTGGAAGGCAAATAAGGGCAGCAGGGGAGGATGTGGGACTCAGAGACCTGGGGCCATGTTGTACTCAGCACTGCTACAATTACAGACTTAGTGCTGCCAAGACACTGGTTACCACTAGTCCCTAAAATATGACCAGGGAAGCAGACACAAGTGTTGTTGCCCCTGCTCAGGGCTGGGCAGCTTGGACCTTTTTCAGCTGCAGATCAGCTTTTTGTTTTTTATTTATTTTATTATTTAATTTTTATTATCATATTATTGTTGTACTGGGGGTACATTGTGACATTTACAAAAGTGCTTACAATATATTTTAGTTAAATTCACCCCTTCCATCATTCTCTTTTATCCCCCTCTCCATCCATTCTTAGAAGAGTTTCAACAGGTCTCGTTCTTCCATGGCAGGCCAGTGTTGACTTTTCAAGAAGAGCCCCAGAAATAGGATCTTGTGTAGGGGGTAGAGAAGGGTGTTGGTCCTAGATTTCGGGGCTGAGATTTGGATCTTGGCACACAGGGAAATTCCTCTTCTAGATCCTCTACAAGGAAAAGTGGGTGAGGAAAAGTGGGTGAGGAAAAGTGGGTGAGGAAAAGTGGGTGAACAACTTTCTGTGTCCTGGGGCACTTTATACTAAATGGAATCAGTGTATATCTTTTCCACAAGGCATGTCCGGCTCTGTTAGTAGCTGATTACCTCCTTCTTCTGAGTGGTTGGAAATTGGGCACGGGTTCCTTTAAATACTGAAAATTCCTGTTGAAGTGAGTCAGTTCTGTCCTGGTTTAGGGATAAAGTTTACTCTCTTGTTCTTCAGTGGAGAATTTTTTTCTCTTGCCGAAGACCAGATTCTGCCCTTCTACTCGAAGGCAGTGACTTCACAGCTTCTCCTTCCTTTACTTCCTGTGATTTTAAAAAACCTAGCTTTGTGAATTCATGAGTAAAGTCTGAACCGGGCAGCAGAAAAACAGGAAGTGACTGCAAAGGCAGCACAAGAGCCGGTGGAGTAACAGAAAGATCAAAAGTAAAAGGAAGCTCCTTCCTGGAGGAATATCGTCTTTGTTTCAGAGATTTTTCTCCTGAGTGGACAAACTTGAGAACTGAACCCACAGAATTAGGCTGTCCAGGGGACTTGGTGACTGTCATGGTGCAGGGAAAGAGTGGAGAAGGTGAGTGCCTGGTGCATTTCTTCACTCTGATGTGGGAGGCAGCTCTGACTCCCAGCTGTGACACCTCTTCTGCCAGCCTGGCTGGATCTCTGTGGCTTTTCCCTGACACACTGACACCATCTGCTCTTTTTGAGTCTGAGGACCCCTCATTTCCTCTGCCACGTTTCTTTTGGTCCTCACAGTCTCCCTGTCCCTTGCATACCCACACACTGTCTCTCCCACCTGATTGGAGACTACAGAAAACTTAGGTTTGTTTACTTCCCCCACCGAGGGGCCGAGGGCTGGGTTAATCATTCCATGGCTTCACGGTGCCCCCATCTTTGGTTCCTGAGGCCCACAGCTCTTCTCTCCCCTCCCCAAGGACAACTTTCTAAAGTTTTGTTAGGTCCTTGGCATTCTTGGGGCGGGTGGAAGGTCCCAAAGGACCTAAATCCCTGAATTTATCTGTATTTTTGGTGTGTGTGTTGTGTGTGTGTGTGTGTGTGTGTTTGTGTAGGCTTTCTTTTAATGTGACGTTGGGCAAGTAAGCAATTTCTCTGTACCTGTTTCTCATCATTAAATGGAATTAATAACGTGGTGAGGAAGGCTTATGAGGATTGAAGGAGGTAAAACTTGCAAACTAGTTTATGTAACAGTGACTGGCACTACTAAGTACCCAGTAAGTGTTAGCAGTTATTACATGGTAATAATAGTTTTATTTTATTTTGCTTATTCTTGTTTTTTGCTATATCGGGGATTGAACTAAGGGCCTCATGCTTGAGCACTCTATTTTCAATTTTTTAACTGATACAGCATCTTTATGCTATACAGTGTGGTAACTTGATGCATGTATACAATGTTTAATGATCAAATCAGAGGAAGTAGTGTTCCCATCTCTTGCAAGTCCTATTTAAGGACTTAAATGGTATGTGGACCCAGAAGGGTTGCTGCTGGTGGTATACATGGATACTTGATCAGACAAGCCCTGCCAGCTTGCTTTCATGAGGATTTGCTTCTTCAGTAAGATTGGTTGAGGGAAGTCTTTGACTTCAGCAGAGAGTGGGAACTAGGCCACGGAGAGCATCCTTGGGTAAGCCATGGGTATTGCCAATGGAGTTCAGGCTCTGGAGAGCCTCGAGGAGGGATGTACAGTACCCAGGCCTCTGGGCCTCTCATGGGTGTCCTGACAATATTTATTAAATGAAAAAAAGTCTTAATTATTACCCCCAATTTTTAAAATCCTGAAATATGAAAAGAAAGTGTTCTTGGCTATCATCTGGTCCAAATTTCTCATTTGTAGTGAGAAAACGGGGCCCTGGAGGTAAAAATGACTCGTGTAATGTCACACAGCCAAAGTCAAAGTCTAGGTGTCTAGGATCTCCACCCAGTGCTCCTTGTATCTGGGCCTCCTTCTTCCAGTTAGTAAGAACTATTCTGATGTCTGTATTAAAGTGAAGCATTCCATAGAAAGTACTGAGAGCCCAGCCCCGCCTCCTTCCCTGCACATGTGACTCAGGAGTCCTCAAGGAGGAAGTTATAATAGGCTCTGCCTTTCAGTTCTTCATTTCACTTTTGCTACTGTGTTCCATGCACGGTTAGCCAGGAAAAGAGGCCTGTGAAGAGGTGCTGCCATTGTGAGACCCCAGGATTTTCTTCTGGCAAGGTGAGCTGGGCCTTTAGGAGGAAAGAGCTTGATTCTAGAGCCTTCTAGGCTGTTGAGTGTGAGTTCTGGAGGCTGCGTGACCGTGGAGTACTTGAGTGTAGATGGAGAAACTGTAAGCGTTGCTGTGGGAGTCAGCAGTACCTCTTGCTGAGGGCCCCGTGAAGTGTCTAGATCCCAAGGCCCCTCCAGCTCAGATGGATGCAGTCCTGGGCATTTCTGAAATGCTCCAAGTACAGCTAGCTATATGAAGGCCTCATCCTTATTGTGACCAAACTTGTCAAAGAATAGATGCCAACTTTTAAATCTCAACTGATTTGGCTGCTACAACTCCCCACCCACCAACACACCCCCAACACCCCACCCCCAACACACACCTATCTTAGCAGTTAAATCATTTTTATTTTTATTTTTTCCATGGTGGAGATGGAACCCAAGATCTTGCACATGTTAGATAAGTGCTGTACTGCTGAGCTGCATCCCTCACTCATCATTTATATTATAGTTGAGAAGTTAAAAAAATACAGAAGAGTCCAGAGAATGATATAATGGGAAGCATAGCTTAAAGGATCAGAGACCCATATTTGTGGGATTAAGCATTTTGCAAGTGAAGTTGTGAATTTCATTCAGTTTGAAAATTATGGGGTTGGTCATAGTTTTTGTGAGGTTTAAATGCATTCTGGGGCTCTCTGAACATTGCTCCAGGGCCCTGCTGCTGGCAGTGTTTGTGTGTGGAGCAGATGTTGGTTAGATGTCAGAGGAGTCCCCAGTCTGGGAGGGCAGCCTGGACTGGAGAAAGAGGCAATGCTATTGCTTAGGATTTGGTCCTGAGAGAGGATTTCAGGTACTCTCGATGATTTGAATGACGTGGACTTTTGTCTCAGAAGATTCACACAAGTTTTGTTTTCCCCCCAACTTTAAAGTGGTTATCCAAACCACTGAAGGAGCTGGGTTGCTGCTAGATTATTTCTAGACTGTTTGTGATTAGATGAAGTTAATTGGGGCATGTAAGACAGTGTTAGAATTGGGACTATGGAATGAGATGCTGGGGTTTAATCCAGGCTCTGGTACTTGCTTTTCAGGCTCTGATACTGATCTTCTCTCTATGATAGTGGGTCTGTTCAGTTCTCCTGTGTTTGTGGTTTTGTTTTTGTACTTTTTAACATTTTGTTTGGTTTTTGGTGGGACTGGGGTTTTAGCGCTTGCAAAGCAGGCACTCTACATTTTAAGCCACACCTTCAGTCCATTTTACTCTGGTTATTTGGAGATGGGGTTGAGAACTATTTTCCCAGGCTGACCTTGAAGTGTGATCCACCAAATCTCAGCCTTCCAAGTAGCTGGGATTAAAGGCACATGAGTCATTAGTGCCTAGGTACTTTTTAACTTTTTTAAAAATAATTTTAGCCATAAAAAATATTATGATTGTGTTTCTTTGTTGAATTCCCTCACTGCTTTCCAACTGTAATTAGAATAAAATTTTAATTTTTAAAGCATCTATTGTTGAAACCCTTGAGAGGACACATAACTCTGAGCCTAACTCTGCCTTACTAGCTGATTTTTTTTCTTTTTCTTTTACTCTTTTCTTTCCTTTCTTTTTTCTTTTCCCTTTTTTTTTTCTTGGTGTCTATGGACCAAATTTATCTCTGAGCCTGGGCAAGGGGAACAGGGCCCATGAGTCACAGTGTTCCTGTGGCTGCCTTCCGGGCCACTATTAGCTGATTTCTAAGTTGCCATTTAGCACACTAGTAAAATGAGGACAATCTTCAAAGGCTTATAGTAAAATGAGACAAGAAAAAATATTCTTATGCTTTTATGGGTAGTTTATGAACAGTTATGTATCATAATATAAGCATTTATTTATATCTAAATATTTGGGACATACATATGTTATATAAAACATTAAGTGTCCTTATATATGCAATATATTTATGAAGACTTATTATTTGAAGATATTACATAAAATAAATGCATGACATGGCTAAATATTCAAATATATGTAGAGAGAGAGATAGAGAGAGACAGAGAGACATGAATGAATAAAGTTCAGCATAAAACACCAAATATGACCAGAAAAATTATTTCTAAATACCAAGATTTCAAGTGATTTTTATCTTCTTTTCATACCTTTCTGAACTTTACAGAACAAGTGTTACTTTTGCTATTTTCAGGAACAGAAAACTATGACAGCAAATGTTGGCATGATCCATTCTTACAGAGCCAAGTGCCCTCGAAATAGGCTGTTATATAATGGTGTAATGGTGTCATAAATTCTGCACAAGTGACTGCTTCCTGGCTGCTATGATTAGAGAGATGTGTGACCTAAACAAAAAACACACCCCCCAAAGACTTCAATATCATGTCTCACTGTGTATCCTGGGAAGCCAGAGTCTTTTCTGGGCGAGGAAAGAGTTGTCTTAAGCATTTCCCGTCTCAGCATTGATTTGATTAGGATTTGGCGGAAAAACTGCTTAAAAAGAAATGTCACATTGTTACAAGGATAATGAAATAAGTGAGCTGAGATGGCTACAGGAGCCAAGTGCCAGTCACTTTATGTGCAAACTCAGCCATCCTTACCTTGGATTGGATTGGGTTTTTATTCTATGTTGTTAGAAAATGCTATTGAATATGTTTACAGAGCCTTAAAAAGGTTTATTACTTTTTGGCTCAGTAATATTACTTCCAAGAAATAATCTAAGAAAATAATCAGAGATGTACTCAGAAATTTGTGTTTTACAATCACCCTAAATGTAATAAGGGACTGTTGTGTAAAATATAGTCCATCCATATGATAGATGCTTTACAGATACTGAAACCCATGCTGTAGAAAAAAAAGACATCAACATGTACTTATGATATTATTAGTGGGGAAATATGTGTGCAAAAATATTTAGCAGGAAAGATAGTAAAATATTATTAGGTGTTTGGATGGTGAAATTTTAGGTAATTTAAGTTTTCCATTTTATTTTTTCTGTATTTTCTAAGATGAACAAAATAACTATTATCATTAGAAAAAATAATTGTGGAGGCAAAAAAGGCGGTCTTGCTTTCACCTGATTCGTTAGTGGGATTTTCTTTTCTGTAAAAGAAACTTGTAACAGAGTTTTCAAGCTGATTTAAAAGTTTTAAGGATGATTGATCTAATGCAACTAAACAAGGCTAGACCGAGCTTACACCTTTCCCAGCACGTAAGTGAGAATGGGTGTTAAAATAGAGACTTTAGTTTAGGCTTATGTACATTGAAAATAGATATTGCAGGAATTCAGAAAAGTTGTCCAAACTGCAAAAGACTCACTTTCAGTTCTACCCTACCCTCCCTCCAGCCATGCTCAGGTCCATGTCTTGCTCTCCTTAGGCAACACCTGCATCCTTAGTCAGTGAGTGTGTTGGAGCTCTTCTGTGAGTACACGAAAACACAAATTTTCTGTGGATGCACCAATTCATACACTGCGTAGTTCACGCGTATCCAACCACCATGATCTTCTCATCCTAAGAGCTGAATAGAATTCCACTGGATTGATAGTAGCTTGCATAACTCTGCTTATACTGATAAACAGTCATTTCTGCTCTTATGTTATTTCAAGTGAAGCTGCTATGAATACCCGTGTACATATTTTTGAGTACAGTTACATTTAAGTAGGGAACCCCCTGGAAATTCAGTTGTGGGGTTGAAGTGCATTTCTACCCTCTCATAATACTGTGTATTGTAATTTTTGTACTTCACTAGTTTTGGTAGTTGAAAGTAGTCTTTTGTTATAATTGCAATTTGCTTTTTTTAAATTATAAATGAAAGTAAGAATATTTTTAAATGTTTAAAAACTATTGATCTTAAAATAGAAACCCAGAAGTATTTTCTCCGAACTAATATTTTCTCTTGTGCGCCTCAACTGTTTATGCAATGGGTTTCTTTTTTTTTTTTTTGAGACAGGGTCTTTTTATGAAGCCCAGGCTGGTTTTGAAACCTAGATCCTCCTGCCTCACCCTCCCGAGTGCTGGGGTTGCAGCCGTGAGCCACCACGCCCAGTGTTTTCTTTTTAAAAACTGACTTACAGGAAACTGACTTGAAGGAAATTAGTTCCTCCCCCATTAAAAATCATATATGTTGTTGTTTTTTTCCACACTGCAGTTTATTTTTGTTTGGATTATTTTTACAGAACATTTTACTTATTTAAGGATATTTATCAGTCTTTTTTTTAATAGATTTTAGGTTTTCTGTTACATTTACAAAACTTCTTTATTACTGTAAGATCACTTAAGTTTTTTTTTTTGTTTTCTTAGTACTTTTTAAAGGTTCAAGTCTTTGCTACATCTGCAATTTATTTTGATGTAAGGAGTTCAGTTAGGATCAATTTCAGTTAAGTAAGAAGTTTACCCAATTGTTCTAACACCATGTGTTGAAAAAGCCACCTCAAGGTGGATAGTCTTTTTTTAAGTATGTTTGATATTTTATTGTTAATATCTAGTTTCACTGTCCTGTAGTCACAGAATATGGGTTGTGTTATTCTGCCTTTTGAAAATCTACAAAGATTTTCTTTGAGGTCAGTTTTGAAGAGGATGTATATTTTCTCCTGAGAACACATGGCATGTTGGATAGAATCTGTCAGATCTGTGCTATGTAGATCCTCAGGATCTGCCTTCTGTTTAGCCTACTAGATTTGTTTTGTTTTCTGTGAGAAAGAAATGTGTGGGGGTTTTTTTGTTTGACTGTTTGTTTTGTTTGGGGCAAATGTTTTTAGTTCTCCTAGGTTCTTATGATTTAGGTTCTAATATTTTGTTTTAAGAACATGTGTCCTCATGCAATCCAGTTTCCTTTCCTGGGCTGAGAGGCACTGCATAGCAGTCTTGGACTTCCTATAAGCTACTTCCTTCCCTTCCCTCCGATGGCACCACTTTCTCATACTGCCTTAAACACAAGGACACACCCAAGCCAGCATTTTAACTAACACAGATAATATCTGCACATATTCTCCGTAACGCATTGTAGAGAAAGAAGAGCAAATTCCCTCCCTTACTTCCTCATCCACAAGTTCTGGTCTCTGTGTTCCAGAGAAGGTAACATCTTAAGTTTGGTGTGTCTGCTTGCCGAACTTTCCTTTTATTTTCTGCTTTTATAATATGTATCTACAGCCTCGGAAAAATCTATTGCAGTGTCTTGAATATTATTAAAAAGCAGATGACTTTTTGTTCTATGGTAACTTTTTTCACTTTCATTTTTGGCAGTACTGGGGGGTTGACTTCAGGGTTCTCACACTTGTTAGGAAGGTGTCTACAACTTGAGCCACTCTGCCAGCCCGTAACGTGGGTTTTTTTTTTTTTTTGCACTCTTTTCAGCACATCTTGGATGTCTAGCCATTTTTATTTCAGAAGATGGAGTGCATTACTCTTAACTTCTATAGACTGTTCTGCTAGTATGTACTATATCTGGTTTGTCTAGCCATACTCTCATTGAAAGACATTTGAGTTGTTTCTACTTTTCAGGGTTGTACATGGTTTGTGGAGACTCTGAGATGATTCCTTGTTGAGCACATGTATAAGTGTTTTCTATAGAGTGATTACAAGGATTATGTTTAGTTTGTTCCCTTCCGTGCCAACAGTGTTTGTTTGTTTGAACTTTGAAACATGTGCTGTTAGGTACTGGCCAGATATTTAATACTTACATTTTTTTTTCAGTACTGGGGTTTGAACTCAGGGCCCAATGCTTGATAGGCAGTCATTTACATTTGAGGCCACTCCTCCATCCCTTAAATGCCTTTCTATAAGATTAATAAAAGAATTTTTATAATAAATATGCATGCAGTGGAAGATCTAGGATTTCCCCATACTTTGTGAACTGAATGCAATGTGTATCTCTCTAAAGATGCTGTTCCTCTTTTCCTAAAATTAAGAAAACTTGTCTAAACAATGATATAATCTCTAGATCAAGAGAGATTTTCCTTCATAATACAATTGTAATAATTTATTCTAAGAAAATAATCAGGAATATGTGTGAGATGAAAAAGTCTCTCAATGTAATATTATTTTAACAGTAAAGATATAGAAGATGCCTCCAATAAGCTTTTTATATATCTTCATGTTATAAATCAAGAAAACATTAAAAATGTGCCTGGGAAGAACTACTTATAATGGCACAAGTAAGTGTTCACTAAAATATTGTAGAAAAAAATCCCAACAACAGGTGTACACATCTGATATGTAGCAGTATTCCAGTTTTTGTATCAATGTACCTTTGTGTGTATGCATGTGCACACGTGGCATATAAATAACTGTGGCCATATTATAGTTTACTATATTTAAATTTTCACATATACAAAAATAACTGCTGCTATAACCAAGAAGGAAAACAATGCATTTCGTAAAGAAAACTGAAAGTTTTTAAAATCTCCTGGTAGTGTGGCTCAATTGAAGAATACCTGCCTAGCAAGCACAAGGCCCTATTCAAACCCTGAGTACCAAAAAAAAGAAAAATAGAATTGTAAAATTAAAAGTTTTAAAATCTTGGGGCCATTAAAAAAACCATTAGATACTTATTCTATTTTTTTTTTTTTCATTTTTCTTTTATATTCATTATGTGCATTACAGGCTTGGTCATTTCTCCCCCCTTGTCCCCACCCCCTCCCTTAACCCACTCCACCCCTTCCCGCTCCCCCTCAATACCCAGCAGAAAACTATTTTTGGCCCTTAGTCTCTAAGTGTTGTGTGTATAGAGATTATAAAGCAATAATAGGAAGGAACAAGGGTTTTGCTGGTTGCAGATAAGGATTAGCTGATTACAGGGCATTGACTCAGGCATTGATTTCCTGTGTGTGGCCGTGTTACCTTCTAGGTTAATTCTGTTTTGATCTAATCCTTTTCTCTAGTTCCTGCTGGTCCCTTTTCCTATTTGGCCTTTCAGTTGCTTTAAGGTATCTGCTTTAGTTTCTCTGCGTTTAAGGGCATACAAATGGCTAGCTAGTTTTTTAGGTGCTTTACCTATCCTTACCCCTCCCTTGTGTGCTCTCCGCTTTATCATTGTGCTTCATAGTCGGCAATTCCCCTTTGTTGTGTTTGCCCTTGATCAATGTCCACATATAGGGGAGAACATACGATTTTTTGGCGTCTTTTTGAGGCCAGCTAACCTCACTCAGACTTGATTGTTCTCCAATTCCATCCAATTTACCAGCGAATTGATAACTTTTCGTAGAACTTATTTCTAATGTGGTAGATTAAAAATATTTTTATTTAACATCAGATGCAGATGGAATGTGGCGTCACATATTGATCACTGCCTTCTGAGCAATAGGCTCAGTTTGCTGTGTTTACTTACAAATGTTAAAGAATGTAGGAAGCTTACAGACTCAGGAACCCATCCTTCTTATTGTAGGGGAGAAAACAAGTCCAAAGTTACGTTTAAGGTTAAAGGAAGTGCCCAAAGATGCAGCATTTGTGGCATATAGAAATGACGGAGCCAGTTGGGAACATAAAGGTTTTCCAGTTCACGGTTCTCAAATGGTCACCATTCATGGTCACCTCTTCAGGGCAAGGATGTTCTGAGTAAGCCCTTAACATAGACTCCTCGCCTGAGAGGACTATGATAACCCCCACTGTCAGCTGAATATTCACATTTTTTAACAGAAGATGGGAGAACTTGAGGGTGAGAGAAGTGCTCAATGTTCCATGCCTTGTGTCACAGCCCTATAGCTAGGTGCTTTCTCCTTCTTATAGGGCTGGCATTTATTTGGCATTCATTAGTTGCTGGGGCATTCCAGGTGTTATCTCAGAGATTCACAACCACTATTTTACATTGCTTTGAGGAAGTGAGCTATCTAAGAGTGGTTGGCCAGTGTCACAGCCCAAGCTCTGATCCAAGATGGGAGCCCCTGGTCCTAACCACTGCACTGTTGACCTTCTCCAGACACACTCCAAAACGCTCCATCCCAGACCCTTTGGGGTTAACTTATCCAACTCCTGTGCCTGCCTGACCTGACTCTGAAAGTTCTTTCCTTCACCTTTGGCATAATTTTTTTCCTTCAGGAATTTCTTTTTCTCATTCTCCCCAAAGTTCCCTCCCCTAAAGAAAGCCCTTTTCCCAGGCTGAGTCAAGGATCCATACTTTGTGTTCTTCCTGTCACAACTTCCAACCACTGTGGCTTTTTGTAGATCTACCTCCCCAAATAGTAAGCTACTTGTGAGTAGGAGGATGCTTTGTTTTGCTCTGTTGTTCTTTTCTTCCTATTCTCTGTATCCATAGCAAAATGTCTGGTATATAGTATGTACGATAGAATTTGATGAAGGAAGCAATAGATGGTTCTTTTCTTTTCTTACCTGAACATAATGTTATATTTTGACCTAGGTTACAACTCTACTCTTCTAATTTTTGCCAACAATGGATTTCAGTGAGTGTCTTTACAATATTGGGGAGCAACTTGACAGTGATGAGTTGGCCTCTCTCAAGTTCCTGAGCCTAGACTACATCCCACAAAAGAAACAAGAGCCCATCAAGGATACTTTGATGCTATTCCAGAGACTGCAGGAGAAAGGAATGTTGGAGGAAGGCAATCTGTCCTTCTTGAAGGAGCTGCTTTTCCGAATTAATAGACTGGACCTGCTGCAAACTTTTCTGGCCACAACCAAGGAAGAGATGGAAAAAGAGCTCCAGATTCTAGGCAGGGCCCAGATTTCTGCCTACAGGTGGGTAGAAACTCACCATTGTGGGAACTGGAAGGTGTGGTTGAATGGACTCACATTTCTATGGACACTGCTAATGGAGGTTGTCTGCATGGTATGACTTAGGAAGCTCTGGGGAAATGTCTCACCAGGGTCAGATCAAGAAAATGGGTCATTATGTACAATTCAGAAGGGAAAAAAGCTAAAACCATAAAATAAAAATTGATTTTTCAATTTGAAACATTACCTACAGGTATGTGGAAATTAAAATACAGTTTTTGTAAATGTTCCAATGCTCTCTCTTCTCCCTTATCTTGGTGCCTCTGCTTTCTGATTCCCTCATTGTGTGTGCTTACTTTGCAGTCCTATGGCTTCTCGCCCACCCAAAGCCCCTCCTACCTGCCTCTGAATCCACGTGGACATTTTCAATAGGTTTAAGGATTTTATTTCATACTTGAAGACTCAAATGAGTCCTCAATTTTCTGAGGTATATGGTGCCAACCCTGACTCCACACACATTGCTTAGTTCCTGTGAGCATGGCTGCACCCTAAAGCAAAGCTGCCTCAGGAGAGCAGGTGGGGCCTCAGGTCATTGGGTCATCCTGCCCATGGTGGGAAGCTCAGCTTCTCCCCACCCTGGAGAGACTGGGTAACCTGAGTTGTGATAATTAGACACATGCAGTTACAAGTTAATGGGTTTGTCATAAGCTTTAATAATAGGAACACATTAGCATCTTCTCTCTTTCAACATGCCCTATTTTCAGACACTCTTGAAAGTAATTTTTAGTTTTCTGTCTAGAAGATTTCTACTTAAGCTGTAGCTCAGGCCCATTTCATTGTCTCTGCTTGTTGGTCAGTAACTGACATGTGCCAGCCAGGACTGACAGCCATTATCATCTGATAGCCCAGTTAATTTTTTATGCCTCTGGTCCCTGAGATCTGGCATGTTCCTTGTCATATGTCTTCCTTTTTGAGGCTGACTATTTTGACTTTAAGTGACAAAAAGAAATATTCTGGATGTATTATTTTCCTAGGGCTACCATAATAAAGTACCATAAAATGGATGACTTAAAACAGTAGAGGAAATTTATTCTCTGATAGTCCTGGAGGCTCAAATTCAGAAATCAAGGTGCCAGAAGGATTGGTTCCTTCCTGTCGATTGAGAGAGAATCTGTTCTCTGTCTCTCTCTCTCCAGTGTTGCTGGCAATCCTTGGTGTTCCTCGTCACAACAAGGGAAAGGGGTGTGGGAGTCTGACAGGGCGGGGCCACTGATTGTCTTTGGAGTTCCAGGGTCTTTAGTGTTGGTGGGGTCTATGAGGGCTGTGGTGTGGGTGTGGGTATGTTTCAAGTCTTTGAATTCTGGCCCATGTTTGGCCTTCCTCCGGAATGGAATGATTGAAAGAACTCTGACCATATTCAGTGAGGGAAGTGATGATTTAACTTGCATTTTAAGAAAGTATAAATTCCAAAATCAAAGTTTTTTTTTCTAAAGCAATAACACCTTGATTTTATAGTGAAAGACAAAGGAAAAACAAGAATATTCATCTAACTGAAATTACTGAAAGACAAACTTGATGAAACTTAAAATTGTTCAGGGTAGGATAATTTGGCACGAGTCCGTAGACATTGGTGTCACTATAACAGTCTCTTCCCAAGGACTCAGCTCATAAATCATGTCACTAATTGGCTCTGTTTTGAAGGGAGGCTATTGGAGTCGGGTCTGTTGTGACTCCACACAGCTAATGAGAAATGATCTAGAACAGCATTTCTAAGGTGTCTCCGTTTCCCACCACAGGGTAATGCTTTTTCAAGTTTCAGAAGATGTAGACAAGCAGGAATTGAAGTCTTTTAAGTTTTTTTTGAACAAGGAGATCTCCAAGTGTAAGCTGGATAATGACATGGTAAGACCTAGCATCTCCTTGAGATTGGTCAGGGATTTCTGGGACTGAAAGAGGAGCTCTTCAGTAACAGCAACCTGGATTCTTCTTAACCAGAAGAAGAAAGTGGTCAGACAGGAGTGCTGTAGATCTGATGCCTTTGCACTGTGAAGTGCTGCTCACAGGAGCTCACAGTTATCAGGAGCAAGGCAGAGTCAGGAGCCAGAAGGAGAAGCACAGTTGTGCAGCACAGCGAGGTTGGAACCTAGCAAAGCCAAGATGAAGTGGCGGCCTGAAACCTTTCTCCCACTTCTTCAGCCCTTGAGACAACTCTGTGTATGTCTTTCTCAGTGTGTCTGGTACATGTCTCTATGCATGTCTCTGTATTTATGTGTCTCTGAGTGTGTTGTGCATCTATCTGTGTGGTATTTATGTTGTGTCTCTTGTCTATACGTGTAGCATGTGTGTCTCCTTATTGGTCTGTGTCTGTGTGTAGTGTATGTATGTGTCTCTGTGTATTTCTATGTCTCTCTGTATGTGGTGTGTCTGTATCTCTCCAAGTGCATATGGTATTTGTGTATGTGTGCTGCCTTAGTATGTGTAGTCTATGTGTGTATACTGTGTGTTATTTCTGCATCTTTCTGTGAGTGTCTGAGTCTCTGTATGTGTATCGTGCACCTGTGTGTGCATGTGTGTGTGTGTTTTTCTGTCTCTCTCTGTATGTGATATGTCTGTGTCTCTCTGTGTGTGCCTGTTATTTTTGTATGTATGGTACATTTGTGTGTGTATAGTCTATGTGTTTGTGTATGTGTCTATTGTAGCTCAGCCACAGACCTCAGGCTGGTTAATTGGTAAAGGGCTCAATAGGAAGTTTGAGTACAGGGCCTGGAGATCAGGTGACACCTGCTGTGGCTTCTTTTCTATCTTCTGACTTAGGTCCTTTCAGGCCAGAAAACACAGAATCACCTCCATGGTCATCTGTCAGTTACGGGAGCCCACTGTTCTCTCAAGAGGGTGTGCTTGGGAAGCAAGGGTGGGCCCTTGGTTTAGAGAAAGAGGAAGTAAAGGAAAATCTAATTTAAAAATTAGTATGATTCAATCCAGTCTTCCCACTTTACTTCTCCTCCCCTAGAGTTTGCTCGATATTTTCACAGAGATGGAGAAGAGAGTCCTCCTAGGTGAAACAAACTTGGACATCCTGAAAAGAATCTGTGAGCAAATCAACAAGAGCCTGCTGGGAAAGATCAATGACTATGAATTGAGAAGATGTAGCGACAATCTGACAGGTGTGAATCAACAATGCATATTCTGAAACTGACAAGTTCCTCGGTGTCACAACTGCTTCTAATCACGTATTTGGGGGGCTGTTTTTCTCTTTTTGATTCAGAGAGAAGAATGAGCATTGAAGGATGTTCAGATTCATTTTTGAATGGTAATGCTTGGAAATACATTTTTAAGATCTACTGAGTTAGTTTACTCTGTATCCTCATGGCTTCCTTCCTACCACCTTCTACCACATCCTAGTATCAGGATGGAAGTTCAATGGTAACTTATAGTCACCTTTTCTACACACTGAGAGATGGAAAGAGTTTTCAAAAGCAGACCCTGCTACCCCCGGCTGGTGTGGTTGAAATAAGCACTTAGTTGGTAATAAGGGCTTAATTTTTCTTTCTGTGATTTTTCTTCCTCTTGATATGTGCTGCCTACTGGGTAGCCAGATTCAAATTATTTTCCAGAACTTTTTTTTTTTATGGTGATACTCACACTTACTAGTCAGGTGCTCTACCACTTGAGCCACTCTGCTAAGAGTCTCTTCTTCTTTCAACAAGAACAAGTTTATTCTGCTCTCCATGCCAGAAGTCCCTTGGTCAAGTGTGAATAAGTTGTTCCCATCCCTTGCCAAGTCCCAGGGCTCCTAGGTCTGCCCTGCCTGAGCTACCCCATCATCTGCCTGCCTTGCCCTTAGAATGGTTCAGCCATTCTTTCTATCCTAGAGGAGAAGCTATGGCTGAACAAGCAGAGGGAACACTCAAGGATCTTCAAAGTTTTGATTAATCAGATATTCTTTCTGATTATAGAAATTACATAAACTTACTGAGGATGATTTAAAATTCATAGAAAACAAAAAACCACTAATGCCACCATCCCATAAATATTAATATTGTTATTATTTTTGTTGTATTTTCACCGTGGTTCTGTGTGTGCACATGCACTAAGTACAGTTTGGACTACCCCCCCCATTTGGGGCATTCTTGGGGTTTGAACTCAGGCCTCAAGCTTGCCAAGCAGGCTTCTACCACTTGATTCATGCCCTCAGCCCTTTTTTGCTTTGGTTATTTTTTAGATAAGGTCTTAGACCACAATCCTCCTACCTATGCCTCCCACACAGCTGAGATTAGACCTGTGCCACCACACCTAGTTCATTTGTTGAGATGATATTTCAGTAGCTTTTGCCTGGGCTGGCCTCAACTGTGATCTTCTTGATCTCTGCCTCCCAAAAGGTGGGATTACATGCAGGTACCATTGTATCCAGTTCACCTTTATCCTTAACATAAACATCACTACTATTACCACTAGTACAATAGATCATAATAATGTAATATGTAGCCTCCTGAGTAGGTCGGATGGGATTATAGGCATGAGCCACTGTACTTGGACCTCCCTTTTAAAGATTAAATCTGTGCCTGGAGCCAGTTCTTCACTACTTTCTATGTCTGCTTGACCCAATGCCTTAAGAGCACTTTAGGTGTAGGACTTTTGGACCAATAATTTATCCTGAGGTAGTGGTTTTATAAATGACTATCTCACAAATGCCACAAAACCCATCCTGGCAATGTGGAAAAATATAAAACTATAACACTTCTTGTTCATGATTTGCGATTGCGTTTCCAGAAGCATATTGATTGTCCTGCTCTGTGGAATGAAAGGAGATTGTGTTCAAGGCAGTTCCAATTTTCATTTTAAAGAGGATCTTAGGTTGTTCTAGGTGCTACATAAGTCCCCTTCCTGCCATGTCTCATTCTAGATGTGTCTCTTATTGCTTGTAGGGGAGGGGTCCCTCGGAGCACTGGCAATGTCAGACTCTCCAAGAGAACAAGACAGTGAGTCACAGGTACGGGAGACACCTCTACATCTTCTTTCTTTTGCACTATAGATTTTTGTTCTATCTCCATATCTAGATTCTAGTTCTTATCGATCTCTTTTTTAAGTTACCAAATAAGCCAATAGGGGACAGAGATTTGTTAAAATTTTTGAGAACTGTAGAAAAAAATTCACAAAAGGACAAGTTTAAAATGTAACTCAATTTTAAAATGTTGCCTTGACGGTTTCCTGTATGTTAAATTTTTATTTTAAAGCCAAAGTTGGAGGATAGAGGCCACAGGCAGCTTCCTGTGTAATCTTCTAGCATCTGTGGCAGCCTAAATGGGGGAGGACTTGGGGGAACAGTCTAGCAGACCTGAAACAAGCCAAATCTTTTCTTTTAGATTGACATTTCAAAAATACTTCTCCTTGGTGACTAGTCATAAGCAACAAACACCTTATAATCTAGTGGTCTCTTTGTTCTTGTCTCATTGAGCCAGCAGAAAAATTTCCTTTCTAGATATAATTTCTATTTATGTAACCTTCAGCAATTCACCAAATACATTTCAACTCATTAACCCATTGACTCCTCCCTACAGCAGGAAGCACAGGAGACCCTGAACACCTGCATTAGGCTTGAAAGAGACTATCTGCTAGTGTGGGCTCCTGAGAAATTCCCAGACCTTTCTCCATCTGAAAATCAAGTGATATGGCACTTTGAAATAATATAACACTCTACAAGCATTGTTCCCATCAAACAACTAAAGATACTGTCTTAATATCTTAGAAAAGCATTGTTCCCATCAAACAACTAAAGATACTTTCTTAATATTTTAGAAAATCTTAGTATTATAATGTCTTAGTAAATGCACTTAATATACTTAGAAAATACTTAGCATATTTAATAGTAAATACTGAATTTACTTAGTAAGAACTTAATAAAATACTTTATATCTTAGTTAATTAACATACTAAGATACTAAGAGATGGCCCAAAGTCTTAAGGTTATGACTTAAGCCAGAAGGTTAGCTTCTTAACCTGAGGTCCTTATCTGTACCTCAAGAGACTGCACAGACTCCCAACTAAATGCTGAGAATCCCAGCTCTGAAACAACCTTAGGAAAAGAAGCAGGACCCAGGTCACCTCTGACTGGTACTGTCAGTTAGTACAGTCTGGACTCTGCAACCTATAGCATCCCCAGCCCATCCTTCTCCATCAATCATAGTGAGCCTGAGAGCTGGATTAAGACATCAACTTTAACCACCCTGTAACCATACTATATTGTGCTTGAAGGACAGGCCCTCTGCTGTTAACTAAGGAGCAAGGAGGAGTTAGATAGCCAAGAGATTCACAAAGTCATGGAGGGGCATCCCAAAGACATTTGGGATTAAAAAGTTACTAAATCCTAGTACCAGGCACAGATGTCATCTGCCTTTACTACTCTTCTGTATAGTGAGGGAAGCAGCAATGAGAACAAACAGTGATATGGAATGTGACTACAAGATCAATATACGTGCAAAGTGCTCAGGAATTCGAGGGAACCTGTGTGAGGGGGTAGAGAGAAGCTAGTTCTTCAGGGAAAGGTCCCCAGATTGGGGTGGAGTTAGAGAAAGCACACCTGCTTCCTGGGTGGTGTGACAGTCTAACCTCTTCTTTGGGAGCTGTTTGTTCACCTCTCTAGTGTTTGACCCTCGGAGTAAGCTCCTGGATTAGGTGTTTGTTTTCCAGACATCGGACAAAGCTTACCAAATGAAAAACAAACCAAGAGGATACTGTTTAATCTTCAACAATTACGATTTTAGCGTGGCACGGAAAAGCGTACCTAAACTTCACAACATTAAGGATAGGAAAGGAACAGACTTGGATGAAGGTACAGTAGAACACAGAAGAGATAGGTGAAATATTTCTTATACCCATTTTTTTTTATCAAAAGGGGCAGTACAAAAGCTATATCAAGAAAATCGATTTAAATATATTTCCTTGTGGAGGTGATGAAACATTCTTATATGTTTTTTAGATGACTGCTTTTATTCTTAATTAATTTAAAAAATCAAAGTAATACATATATAATGATAAAATGTCAACAATTATTACAAGACCTATAATGAACTTTAAATTCAACTAAGTTAATGGTGTTTCTATAGACTACAGTAGGTGAAAAAATTGTTATGGTATTAAGATCTGTATAGAGATTATATTTATAAAAGTTGTGCTATTGGTGCAACTGAAATTGTGAGATTTTAGCAAAAATAGCACTTTCAAATGCTAAACCAGGCCAGAAATTCTTCTTCTACTCAGCTTATTTAAGCTAACTGAGAACTTATCAGTTAAATGAAATAGTCATTTATGTTATGGAATATAAAATAGCTATAATTAAAAATGATAAAAACCATCAACTCAGCTATTGAGATATGAGCAGTTTTTATATAATCAAAGAATTTTCGAAAATGGTATTTGAGTTGCAAATCTATTTTTTAAACTGAGTAAAGTTTAGAAAATTAATGTAGACTGATGACAGTCATTAGGATACTGCAGTGGTTCCTGTTACCATTTGATTTGTTTTTTTTCAGGCAAATCTATTGTGTGGGTTTTAAAACCCACAGAACTTACAACATCATTATTACATCATTACTGTAGCCATTTGCTACATCAGTTGTCATCATGCACTTGGTATTGAAAAAAAAATGTTTCAGGCTTTTGATCTGTATTCACTGAATATTTTAAATTTTCTATTAGAACTACATTTGATTCAATTTCTGGAGTATATTTTTCTTATATCTGGTTCCTGATGACCAGTCTGTGGTCAGTATCTTGAGTTTGCCGGCCCTGCTTTTTCTGTTACTTGTGTTTCATGCAAAATGAGTAAAATTAGGCAACTCATCTGCTCGTGTAATTTTTTCCTGAGATGTTCTGCTACAGTGCTTGTGAACTGCTTTGCAGTCATTTTCTTCATCAACATTCCACATTCCAAAGGAACCAGAAATTTTTCATCAAACCAAGGCACTCTATTAGTCTTCCCAGAGTTTTTCTAAACCAACAAGAACCCATTGTATTTCAAAGTTATTTTTATCTATTCCTAATGCTAGACTATCTCTTTACTGATGATTTATGTTTAGCTCTGATGTACTAACAGGGACAAAATCCTAGAGAAGAAATTAAAAAGGTATACTCTAACAAGGATCAAGAGAACAGAAGTAGAGACAACAGCTAATGAAAGGTTTCAAACAATTTTTAGAAGATGAAGCAAAGGAGAAGAGCTGGTAGATATAACAGAGCAGAGAAAACTACACTTAAGTGTAATCTGTAATCACTTTGAAAAAGACCAAAATGTCCCAGGAGAAGAGAACTTTATCAGCCCTAAGGAGCAACCTGATAGAATTGGAGCAGAGGATGTAGTGTTCAAGATGGGAAGTCCACCAGATAAAAATGAGTCAGCCAATCAGCCTGAAACTGTTGAAAAACTTTACTAGACCTATTAGTCAATTTGAAAAGAAAATAACATTAAGCACATGGGGGAAAAGGCAAGCAAAAAAAATGCAATTATTAAATCCAGCAAAGACAAAAAGCTTAATAAAAAAGGAGATATAATTAAAGAACATTTTGTTTACATAGTCCTAGTAATATAAGTATTATGGATTTAACCCAAAATTGTAAATAATTGTGTAACAACATTAAATTTTCATCATTCATAATAACTCATATCAAAAGTCTAAAGTTTATAAATGAATAAATGGCAATGTATCCAAAACCATTACAAAATGCAGGCTAATAATATAAAAAAAGTAGTTAAAAGCTGAAAGTGGTTGTCTTGCTGGAACATAAATGGTAACAGAAGAGTAGAGAGAGGATAACTGTATGGTAGGTCTTTTCATCTGTTTTGATTCATTCTTTTATTTTGATAAATAGACATAATTTGAGAAGATTAGTAAACATGGATAATTGTTTAAAAATTGTTTTTCTTTTTTCTGAATATGTAAGAAATACAATCTTTTAAGTTTGTTTGGTAGGAAGCTACATCACTCACCCATCTTGTGAACCAGTTTAGAAAATAACACTGTCCCCTTTCACATTTGCCTCAGGGTTGAGAATGTTTTCAGCAGGAAGTAATGCATATTAGAACCCTCTAGAATCCACAACTAATATAGAAGGTCTTATTCTTTAAGTTCTAGTTCAAATTCTTATCTATCAATGGTCAGGCCCCTGTTTTCTCCAGCTCTGGCTGTGGTCTGGAATTATTGTAGTATAATATGCCTTTTCTTATTTCACTTTTCAGAGACTTTGAGACAAACCTTTAAGATGCTTCATTTTGAGATAATACTTTACAAAAACGCCACAGCAAAGGAAATCTATGAGGTTCTACAATCCTATCAAACTATGGACCACAATAACAAAGACTGCTTTGTCTGCTGTATCCTCTCCCATGGAGACAAAGGCATTGTCTATGGCACCGACGGAAAGCAGGCCTCCATCTATGAACTGACATCTTATTTCACTGGTTCCAAGTGCCCTTCCCTGGCTGGAAAACCCAAAGTCTTTTTTATTCAGGCTTGTCAAGGGGAAAACTATCATCAAGCTATACCTATTGACACTGACTCAGAGCAGGACACCTATTTAGAAATGGACTCATCATCTCAAAAGAGATATATCCCAGATGAGGCTGACTTTCTGCTGGGGATGGCCACTGTGACCAACTGTGTTTCCTACCGAGACCCCTTGAGAGGGACCTGGTTTATCCAGTCACTTTGCCGGAGTCTGAAGGAAAGATGTCCTCTGTGAGTTTTGCTCACCATCTCTTCTTAATGTTATACTCGTCATTACTATATATCCATATTTAGAGCCTATTAGAAAACGCTTTATGGTTAAGGTGATATTAATGATCAGAGAAGTATCCAAGGGAGTGATTTCCAATTATCTCTAAATGTGTAATTGTGGATCACATAGCTATACTTCCCACATCAGTTGCAAAGTGGGAGAGATGGCAGATGTTGATATATTTAGTTTGTAGATGGCAAAACTGATATACTTAGGGGTGTCTTATATTGGGCACCTCAAAGGACAACCAGGGTATCACAAATCTGGAAAGAATGCTAATGTAATGTAGTCCAGCTCTCTGTATTTAGGAAAAAACATGATTGAGCCAACTCAAAGAGTTTTGGAATTTTTCAAGAAGGCAGTAATCCACCTAAATGTTTAACACTTTCCAATTCTGTCAGAAGTCCTATAATAGCTAACCAGCCTCACACTCTTTTGGTGTATTGTGAGAGGTAAGGAGCAAAGATTAAGAACCCCTTATGTAGCCAGAGCAAAGATTAAGAACCCCTTATTATAGCTCACTCCTATAATCTTAGCTACTCAGGAGGCAGAGATCAGGAGGATCGCGGTTCAGAGCCAACCTGGGCAAATAGTTTGTGAGACCCTGTCTCAAAAAAAACCCTTCACAAAAAAGGGCTGGTAGAGTAGCTCAAGGTGTTGGCCCTGAATTTAAGCCCCAGTACTGCGGAAAAAAAAAAAAATCAAACTTTTGTTTCTACAAATTTGACCTTATTCAAAGCCACAAATCAATGGAAAATATCCTTCCTTTGTTTATTATATCATATGGAGCCTTCAGTTAAATTAGGGCTTCATAAATCACAGTTCC